AAAAGTATTTTTAATTTTAACGTGAAAATTACTTTGCACACGGACTATTCAAGACAAATACTCAATATATTTATAGAAAAATCTTTATTTTATCTTATTAAAAAAATAAGATTTTTTGTATGTGAAAGACTTATAATGTTAACTGAAAGACTGTCAAATTCTGTGACGATATATACACTATATTGATAGTTATAAGTATTAAATCTAAGATATTAAACGAGTACAAAAAGGCCACATGGTCAGTTAAATTGACCGAGCCCATATTGAGAGAGTTAATACACAGGCATTAGTGTAATTACTAAGTAAAAATGTTTCTAGTTTTCAACAGTAAAAATGTTTTTAGTTTTCAACAGTATTGGTGACTGACTTTAACTGCTTTCATTAATTTAAAGATTTCTCTGTCAGATAAAGGAGGAACAAATGCTGGCTAAAATCAAGGAAGTGAAACACACTCAAGTTATAGCTGAATTGAGACAAAAAATTGCATCTCTTGAGGCCATGGTACGTCTGCTGGTGAAAATTCTTTTTCTCAAAAATCATTATTTAGATCTTTTTCAAAAAAGAGGTGGTCAAAATATTTAGATTTATTACAGTAAAGATATATTTATTTTCTTGTGGTTGCTCTTTTCTACAGCCCCCTCTAGTGGCTCACAGGTATGTCTCTGAGCTTACAACACTAAAAATCAAGTTTCAATACTTGAGGTGGGCTCAGCACGAAACATTTTCTACCATTCTGCTTAATTACAAACAAACAAACATTTGCTACATCCATCTTATGATCTGATTCCAAGAAGTATGGTTAAAACTTAAAATGGAGAAGAAAATAAATAATTGAAAAAGATTAAACTTTTTTATTTTAAGCAGATATCTTAAGATATATATTCGACTATATTATTACTTTCATTTAGCTTCTCACTGAAAAATTGTAAGTAGTTTACATGACTGTTAGTAGTAACGTCCTGTCCTAAAATAATGATAGGTTGACTTCTTTTTTTTCATGTGTTCTCATGTTATCAGACTAATGGAAAATATATTCATGAGAATAGAGACAAATAAAATAAAACGTGACACCCAAATTTAGGCACTGTAATTTGACTTCTTGAAGAAATTGCCCAATGAAGTAAAAATGCTCTGGCAGAATTTGGTAATGCAAAAATTGTGCAGTTTCTAGAAAAATGGTTGTCATATAGTTGTTTGTTGATGTGTTCAAATTTGTGTGAAAATTCTCAAAAGATTTTTGAACATGTAATTCACTTACAGATCAACATTATATTTTCGTTTAGTTCCTGATGTCAAGCAGGTTTGTCAGGATTAGTAATAATAATCAAATTTTTGCAGATGTTTAAATCATTACAAAGTATGATTTACATTCTTCAGTGATGTAAAATATTTCTTTTGATCGGTATATCACGATATTGTGGCTGTTAGTCAAAACATGACACTTAAGATTGCAGCCTTGAACAATACAGAAGTTAAAACAACTGCATAACTTAAGTCCTTACGACCAATCAAAATGTTTATTCCCTTCAGTGGAAAGTCAATTTTTAAAGTAAAATGTTACTACATAGTATGGTTTCTACTAAATTTATTAGAGAAGTTAAACTTGTATATTGGGTGTTTAGTTTTTCATTAAATTACTCTTTCAATAGTAAATGTTTAATTAAAGGCCTAGTGTGACTGGATGGTTAAGGTGAGTAACTCTCATTCTGTAGGTCACTCCATTGAACCCTGTTATTAAATATGCTCACCTTTTCAGCTGTAGAGGGCTATAATGTGATGGTCAATCCCACCATTCATTTTTAAAGAGTAGCCCAAGAATTGACTAGCTGCCGTTCCTATAGTCTTGCATCAAAATTAGGGAGACAGCTAGCACAGATGACCTTCAAGTAGCTTTGCTTGAAATTCAACAAACAACCAAGCAGAATTTAATTTAAGAGCAATAGTTTTCATATCATTTGTTAAACTCTCAAGCAAAGCTACATGTATTTCTTTAAAATCTTTACAGAGTCAAGAAATTATGACAGTTGGACAGTTAAGAATTCGACCAGATCACATGGGCAGTGAGGATAGTAAAGATTTACATGAACAGGTATCAGACCTGAAAGCAGAGGTAAGGCTGTTATTAAAAGAAGTTGAGATTTTTTCCAACACATTTTTAACTTGTATATTTCAGACTTCCACACTTTCTAATATATGTATATAGGATGAGTACAAGCTGTTGCTTATGAAAAACCTTATTAGTAACAATAATTAAAAATTAATAGTAATTTTATAAAACAGATATAAAGCTGGTGTTGTTCAACCAAGTATAAGTTTATATACATATACTGCTCTTTAGCATCAAAAGCATTACCAAGTGTAACCCACTAACATGCATTTCCCTCCCAAAGTGTACTGCACATTATATATTGAAACTAATACTTTTGTCTATTTTCAAGTAATTCATCTTATTAAAATTTAGCTTTATTATTGTATGACATTTGTTTTAAATGATACTTGCAATGCATTTTCTACCTTCTCATTTTAACTCTTTCCAAACAGGCATTCTTTTCTGCACATGTCACAAAGTTTTACTGAGCTACATTCAAAATGTAATTAAACTACTTTGTTATCATGGTATATGAATAAACTTGCCAACAAAACTTAGCTAGTAATCCAAATTTTAATATTATATAAGTTTTTAATTTTATAAGATAATGTTTTTTAAAAACTCCTCAATTTCCCCTAATATGAGAATTGTGACATTTGCTCTCTAGGTCTTCCCTCATTTATAATCAATTTATCACCCCACCAAGAAATATGGAATTTAATATAAATTACTCATTATGATATTGTTATTATTCAGGCAAAGCATAATGTTCATAGCTTTCAGTCTTATTTGGTTACATAGCCATAAAGTAGAAAATCAGACCCCTCTTGCCACACCCACTGTCACATCCTCTCTTTCACACATTGCCAATAGTTCTCTCTGATGTTTAATACTGTATTATTTATAACCAATAAAAAGCCAAAGTTTTAATCTACCAAATCACATATTATATTATGTTGTTTTCTGTACATAGAATTGTCTATTTTGCTTCTAGTCCAAACTTTATTCCCACATGAAACACATCAAAGAGTGTAGCTCAATTTTTTACAGCTCTTATCTCATACTTAGAAAGCCAGAAAAATTATGATAGTTATACAACATTGTCTGCTTTTTACATGTTGTTATTCTATGATCTTGGGTGCATTATTTGATTAAATGAAAAAATTTAGTGTGGTAGTACTATTAGTATTAAAAAAAAAAGTAGGGTTAAGTTTCATCAACAGTCGACAGCAAAAAAAAAAAAAGGCCCATGTAAGTACTGTGTTTCTTGTTTTTCATGTATATTCTTTATATATTATTATAAAAGTAACTAAAATGTAAAAATTATAAACATGTTAGGTTAGGTAACATAAAAATAAACATAATAAATTTTTCATGGAGTACTCTCACAATCAACTTACAAGTAGCCCATGCATTATGTAATTTGATAAGGTAACGTGAGCTATATGTTCACCAAGTGATTTTCAACTTGGGTGGCAAGATTATTAGTTAGGCATGGTTCAAAGGGTAATAAAACAATACAAATTTAATTTCATGTTACAATTTGAAGTCATTCTAGAAATGGTAATTTTGATTTACTTCATAATTTTTTATGGTGGTTGGTCAATTTAACAGACCTCATATAGAGTTAGGGTAGATAAAATAAAGTTTTTTTGAAAAAAAACATTTCAAATTTATTTAGGAGGTTTTAGAGACTACAGAAATGAAGAAAAGTGTTTTGAATCTTAACATGAAAATTACTTTCCACTCAGAGCAGTGAACATTTTGTCTACAAAAGACTTTTAATGCTTACTGAAAGCTTGCAAACTTTCCTGAAGATACACAAAACATATTAGAAGTTATACTATGGAAACTATAAAGGTCAATTTGGGGTGATAAATTTGGCCGATTCGACCGAGCCTGTAGTGAAAGTGTTAATGTATAACTTTAAAAAATTTCCATTTATTCTGAGTCTGTACATTTTTCCTATAATCAGGTTCATAAAAACCATTGATTTCATTCTGACTGCCTTATTCACTTGAAATGATACCTGCTATGCCTGTGGGAAATACTGCTGTGATGCTGCACATTGTGTGAAAAAAACAACTCAAGAACAGCAGTGTCCATCATTTTAGGGCAGGTGATATCTAAAGGTTATAGCTTTACCAAGGTTTAATGAGAGTGACAGGTCATATCGGTAGTTCTAGTTGCTGGGGGTAAATCTGACATTTTCCGATTCAGTAAGAAATATTAGATTCAAAAACTGTACTACACAGGATTTCAAGTGAGTTAGTTGAAGGGAAAACATCTTGAGAAAAAAAAAAGGCAGATACTTCAATGCGTCTGATAGAGGGTGACTTTCCAGTGTCCTCACACAAACAAATACACACACACACACACACACTGTCTGTTTGTGGTTGTTGGTAAATAAAGATTGTTTTATTTTGTATAACACATCATGTCCAGTCTGTGTATTTCTTTGCTTGAACTTAGTTAAATTCTGATTTATTTCTTAATATATCCTGTTAATTCTCCCATTATAAAGAGGGCCTACTACAGTTTGTGCTATCTTAAATCTTCTGTTTTATGCATTTTTCTGCTTCCTTGGGAAAACATTGCAGACTCCTAGCTTCAAAATGTCATCTTCTTTAAATCCATATCATTTAAAGAGTTTTACTGTATGAATACTTTTGCTTCAGAAGAAGTTGTTTCATTCACAGCTACCAACCAAGTTTTATGAGCCCAGTCAGTGCAGTTTGCTTTTATATATGAAACATTTAGCTACCTGTCACATAACTATATTTCTGGAACAACTCTAATGTTCATAGGAAATCAGGAGCTAATTTACTTACCTATCCATAATCTGCAAATGACCCTGTATACAAAGGAGAATTTATTACTATTACACTAAACAGTAGATTTGAAGTTTTATTCTTGAGTAGTTACTGCATAATTTAAAAAAAACTTTTTTTTCCTCTCTATGGAGATTTCTTTTATGTCACATTTGAAGCTAATATAAACTGCCTAATTTTGTTTTAAAAGAGCCTTAACAATTCATTTATTAAACTCAGTAATGTTGGTAAGATTAGGAGAAAAATAAGTCGGCATCCTTTCTTATTGAAATGTTATGCAGTGTTTCTTGGGCTGAGTTAATAGGTTCTCTAACAATTTTATAAATTTGTGTTTTACTAAAACACTCAATAAAAACTATTGTAACTGACATACAGATAAATGTATTAATTTTTACATGAAATTGCATATACTCTAGAGAATTAGTGACAGATTTATCTATACTTGAAATGGGTTATTTTCTATTTAACAATAACTTTTAATTGCCTGGTGCCTTTTCTGGTTTAGATTGTTCACTTGGGAACTTTGAACAAGAAATTGACTTCTGCTGTTGCCATTCAAGCTTTACAAAGTCCAAGTAGCCCAATTTGCAGTCTGTCGAAAGACAGCTCCTTGACAAACCTGAGCAGCCTAATGGAACTGGCCATGAGCCGAGGCAACAGCTTCTGTGATGAATCTCTTAGTAAACATTTGCATATTGGCAATGATCAAAGTCAGTTAACTAATAAAGATCTGTTAAACAAGAACACCAAGATGAATGGTGAGGCAGATAGCTAAGTGCGACGTACTCTATCTTGCCCTCTGATCACATAATATTATAATATATACCGAACAAAGCTTCATAAACCAATACAGTCATGATGTATATAATGCCAGTTTTGAACATTAGTTCATTTTGAATTTGATTTAAGCTGTCGCACAGAAGGAAATGGCACTTCAGTATGCAAAAATATAGTTTCATGTACAGGCCTCCTCAGAGCTTTATAAATGTAAACCTTGTGTCAGATTTTTGCTAGAGTATTTATGTGCATCATAACAGTGTTATTGCTAGATATAAGTATAAAGTGTAATGAGGTTCGACTTGGCATCGTAGCCAAGACTGACCAAAATGTTCTGTGGATATTGTCCGAGTGATGATGGCAAATTATGGAATATAGTTCTTCAAGCAGCATGAAGTTTATTATCGTCATGTTGCTTGTGTACATTTTGTTGTTTTTGTGATCACTTAGTAGCTCCGTCCATGTGTATATGCTATTTTGTGAATAATGGGTAACTTAATATTCTTGCTGGTTTACAGCCTGATGACACAAATCCCCTTTAATGTGGGATTTTTGTCTCTCTTCTTTTTACTGTTTTGTTCCTCTTTCTTCAGTGCATAGAGATTTAAATGTAGGCTTCCACAAATCTTTTATTTGTTGATATTGCATACTGTCCTATCTTTCGTAGTATTAAAGTATTTTTCTTTAAACTCAAGAAATACTCAAAACAACAAAATGACTTTTATCAATCAGTATGTTTTCTTCACTAAGTGAAAACTAAGAATGTAATTTACAGCTGAAGGTGTATCCATGTGATCCAGTTATGCTGTATTATTATTATTATTATTACTCATTTTATATCATTCTTGTTCATCCATATTTCACTTGATTTAAAATTAACTCATTGTTTGTTAACAAGCATTTATCACTTCTAATTTCACAGAATGGAAATTAAGTCTATTAATGACAGATTCTGTTGACCAGCTTCTTTCAGCTTCTATGTATTTTGCTGAATGATATCAAGACATAGCTATCAGTATCCATCTGGTTTTAGCCATTTATTATATTTGTAATATGATGGGACATGTAGTTAAGGCTGTAACTCATAACAGTTGGTATTCATTTTATTCATTCATCCAGCACTTCTCTGAGTGACACTAAATACTGTTTTATAATGGTTATATGCCATTTTGGCCTAGACACAATTAAAATATCAGAACTCCAGTTGTCTTCAGCTTTTCTTTTTAACAGCCAGAAACACAAAAGTATGAACAAGTGTAAACAACTAAGATGGTTACATGGCATTCTGAGTGTGAATTAATAGCTGTTAAAAATTTTGATCCTGTCTGTTCCCATTGAGAAATGTGTTGCCGAATGGCATTTATACGTCACTTGTTTCTTAATTTTGAAAATTATACATTGGGGTCTGTTTTAATTCTTTATTTTAAAAAAAGTTTGATATTTATATCCAAAATTTAAAAACATTTTAATATACTGTAAAAACTTCTGTAAAGATAAAAAGATTAAGCCAGTTCTAATATTTATGCTATTATTTAATAATAACTGTGGTAACTGAAGATTGAGAAAAGTTGTAAACATCAGATTTTCAAGTAGTGTTTTGGCATTATATAATGGATTGAACTGAATATGAAGATTGGGACAGAATCATTCAGTGGTGTATAATCATTTACGTACAATGTAAGTTCATATGCCTTACAACACCCAATTTTTCTGCATTGAAGGAAACTTAGAGTTCCAAAGGAAAATTTCTATAAAACATTTTTGTGTAAAACATGAAAACTCACTTTTGCACTAGTCAGTAGACTTGCATACTTGTTCGATATTTAATTATTTTACAGAGTTAGTTATAAAAATGGGACTAGTTATCATTTGTTTTTTGTTGTTTTTTACAGTATGCCAAAATCTAACTTATTTACAATTATGATCCTTTAAATACAATAGTACTTTTAGTACACTGTATTTACTGTACAAGGGATAAAAGTCATGTTTTAATTTATTGCATTATTAGAGATCCAAAATTCAAGATACATTTTTAGATGTGTACATGTAACCTCTAATCAGATCCATCCTAAAAGTAGAACTGTTGCATTGTGATGTAAACTGTAAACAAAACCATTGTTCCAGTTGTCATATGTGGTTTACTTAGAAACCAGTCTTTCACTATATATAATCTATAGCCTAAAAAATGATTATTGCATCATGTGTATGTTTGTTATTTTTACTTATAAGACATGCATACAGTGTATTTATAATTATGTCAAACAAGTAAATTTTAAATTTATAAGTTTCAGTTCTGTCTGTTCCCATTCATCAACATGTTGCACAATAGCATTTATACATGGTTTGTTCCTTAAGTTTTGATTTTATACCTTTCATCTGTTTTAACTCTTTTTATGTAAAGAAAAACATTTGTTTGATGCCTGTAACCCAAAATATAAGAACAGCATATTTTGTTCTAAAACGTCTGTAAAATTAAAAAAGTGAAGTCAGTTTTAATGTTTGTGTCATTATTTAATCAACACTGAAGATACAGCAAAATTGTAAATCTTGTAAAACAATACAAGGTATTTAGATTTGATTGACTGTTAATCAGTTTTCAGTAAGCATTCAGATTTTCAAGTAGTTTCAGACTTCTTTCTTTACACTTAAGCTCATGCTAGAACTTCATTGTTCTGTATCTCCATAAAAAAAAGTAACATTATTCTGACGTGAACATTTTTAACAACATTTACAGTATATATATATCAAGTAATGTTTTGTAAACCCAATTACAGTTACATGTTAATAGATTCTAAATACATTTTGTTTGTTGTTTTTTCAAATGTATTTGGAGCACACATTTACCAACTTTATGAAATTTGGTTAACATAACATAAATGAGGCATCCATAATTGTTTTCTACTTAATGAAATTTAGTTAAGAGACTTTAATTAAATGAAAAATTTAATGTCTTATTTCAAAACTTTTAACTATAAAAATGTTTTCAGAATCATGTTTTTCTGAACCAGTTATACTGATTCAAACTTGTCTTAGAATAAGAACAATGTTGACTAAAGTTATAAGCTCTAAGTTTATAATAAAACAAGATTGTTCAATCACTCAGTGGTATTACAATCATGAAATTTTATAGCTTCATAATCCATCTCTGAAGAAGGAAAGATTTTCCTGGTTAAACGTTTGTCAGATTTCTGTTATTGTGAGTTAAGTACTTTTATGATAGGTTATGTTTTGTAAATATCATTAGTGAAATATGTAAAACACTTGTTGATTCCTGTTACTCCAAGTTATTTCATAATCATGAAAAGTATCAAACATTTATATTTAAGTATTTATCCAGTATTGCTGGCTTCCTGAAGATTAAAAATATATTTTTTGCCTATGAAAATTATTGTTTGAAATGTTTTATTATTATAAAAGAACAAATAACAATAATAGAATACAAAGTTATTTATTATGGTGGCCCTATGGTTTTCTATAAACAGGTCTTCTAAGGTATTTGGAGAAAAAAATCCTTTAAGTCTCTTAGTATTCCTCTGAGAATGCTTTTACACAGGTAAGAAAAATACAAGTTGAGAGGTTTGGTCTCAAACAAACAATTGTTTCAGATGTAGACCTACATTATGTAAATACTGATCATATAGACATAATTTCAAAGTGTTATTACATGTATTAAATTAAGTTTTTATTTGAGAAGTAAAGACATTAAATGGGTGATTGTATTTTAATTAAACATACAAGGGGAATGATTTACAGCCCATGCAAGTTTATATTATCACACCACTAGTGCCCCATTTTCTATGATTTTGATTCACACACTGTACCCAAATCAATATGTGAGTTTCTATTCAAATCCAGTTAAAAGCCAGAAATGTCATTGCAGCACAGTGAATAAATACAGACTTCCTTTTCCCTTTCTTGTTTTTTATCTTTCTATCCCAGTACTGGTATGTGAGTAAACCATAATTGTTATTTAGAATGTCTTCAGAGCAGGTATGATTTGAATGATGGGTGACTGTTATGTAGAATACCTAGATCCGATGAAACATAAAATTGATTGTTGTATAGAATACTGTTAGTTGAAATGTATCATTATTGTAATATGAGTATTATATAGAATGCTTTAAAGTGTAATGTATCTTGGTTTAAAGTTAATCATGCAAAATACCCTAGAAAATGCAACATGTTCTAAAAAAGAGTTTTGAGATTAGGACTCAAGTTTTCTTGGTTGACTGAATTGTGAACATTTAACCTTACATTAGGTAAGGGAATTGAGAACTGCAAGTTTGATCAATTCTATCAGCTCAATTTAGTTGCTGATGCCCTATCCTTATTGAACTGACCTTGTATGTAATATCTGCAAATAACTAGAAGTTGGATCACAAATTTGTCATAGAATATGCCTGACTTTGAATTTGAAGCAAGAAAGAGACTGAAAAGAACACATACAAAGTGAAAAATAATCTTTATTGACAAAAACAATCAAAGTGTGCGAGTGCATTGGACAGAAGACAGCACTTTTACTGAAAATAAAGATTGAACTTGTCTAAAACCTCTACTACTTGAACTAACTCAATGTAAGAGAGCATAGTATTACAAAAGATTCCAAAATACTATCCCACTTAGTACACATGCAATACCAATGTCACAGATGGTCATTCTAATAGAAAAATGAGAGAAGATATATGCTAGAGATATAATCTGACCTGCCATTGGAAAAGATGTTATCCAGCTTTACAATGATAATCAGTTTTCATCAATTTTACATCAGACACTGAGGGATTTTATATAATAATCAGAATGCATTTACTGCATGTTATATGAAAGTAAAAGGGCATATTCAGAGTAACTAGCCTTTATTCATGTTACTCGAAGTTTTTAAAGTAGTCACATATATTATGTTAAAATATCTTTCATTCATGTTAGATCACACTTCAAAGCATTCTCATAGATATAGATAATAATCACCATTCACATACATTACATCAGAACTGCAGGCATTATACATAATCAGTCTTCATTCACATTACATCAGATTACAAGGCGTTATACATAATCAACGTTCTTTCAGAATGAGAATCAAAGTTATACGTGTTTAAAGACAACTTAAACCAACAGATTTTCCACACCTAAAACCATATAAAGCTCCATTGGACAAGTTTGATATGCAAATACATTACTCTTTCTTGCTTCAAAATATAAACAAATGTTTGTGCAGTTTTAACAATAAAATGTTGGTAAAGTTCCTTATACTCTAGCTACATACTGTTCCGAGTCATTCCCCTATGGTGTCACATGTGCTTTCTCATGAAAATTATTGCTGTAAAGTAGAATACACTAGGAGAATAACTTGAGCAAGCTTCATAAAATTTTCAGGAACATCCAAGAGGAAGATCTCATATTGGGCTTTTTTCTAATTACCGTCATTACCTGGGGTATAGACTTCCACATCTAAAATTTTGCATTTGTATGCAAATGAGTTTTTCCTACCAACTGGTCACTGCAATATCATCCAGAATTCCATAAAAATGAGAATTGATGTTGAAGTCTCAGAATATAAAATTTGATTGTATATTTTATATAATAGGAACAATTAAGTAGTTGTGATGTGTCATAAATGATTACAGATTGTTAGATAAATTTTATTAAGGTGTATTAAACATGAAGAATATGTAGAGTTATGTAATGTGAGTGAAGTCTGATTAAAACTTAGAATGCTTTCAAGCCTAATGTTGATGCCCCATTTTCTATTATATAGTAGGAATAAAAGTAATTGAGTAGTTTGATTTACAGCCCATGCAAATTTATATCATCACACCACTAGTGCCCCATTTTCTATGATATAGTAGGAATAAAAAGTAATTGAGTAGTTTGATTTACAGCCCGTGCAAGTTTATATTATCACACCACTAGTGCCCCATTTTCTATGATTTTGATTCACACATTGTACCCAAATCAATATGTGAGTTTCTATTCAAATCCAGTTAAAAGCCAGAAATGTCATTGCAGCACAGTGAATAAATACAGACTTCCTTTTCCCTTTCTTGTTTCTTATCTTTCTATCCCAGTACTGGCATGTGAGTAAACCATAATTGTTATTTAGAATATGTAGAGTTATGTAATGTGAGTGAAGTCTGATTAATACTTAGAATGCTTTCAAGCCTAATGTAGTATGATAGAAGGCTTGTTGTACTGTAGAATATTATGAGGTTGGATGTAACATGTTGTAAGGCTGGGTCCTATGCAGGATATTATGGTATCTCATGTAACATGTTGTAAAGCTGGCTCCTATACAGGATATTATGGCATCTCATGTAACATGTTGTAAAGCTGTCTCCTATGCAGGATATTATGGCATCATCATGTAACATGTTGTAAAGCTGCTCCTATGCAGGATATTATGGATCTCATGTAACATGTTGTGAAGCTGGCTCCTATGCAGGATATTATGGTATCTCATGTAACATGTTGAATAGCTGAGTGTTCTTATTTTAATATTTCATAAGTCATGAAAGTTTAAGCTGATTGGATATAATATGTCCACATTATACCTTTTCATTGGTTAGCACTATACTGCACTTTTATTAATTGATAAATAATAGCTAGTAATTTTACTTTTGTTAATTGTTATCATTACTGTGATAAAAAATTTTAATTTTTATGAATATATTATTCTTAAACTTCCATATAAGCTACTTAAAAGGAGTAGTTTAACATATTGGTATCTTATGAGTTTGGTGTACTTACATTGTATTCACATAACAAAAACATTTATTTTGATATTCTACATATACT